GGTGGGATGGGGGTGGAGAGAACACAACTGAAGAAAATCTCAATCTACCAATAGCTTAGATTATAGGCCCTACTACGATCCCTGGACAGCCGGGTGGTTGGTCGCAACAAAAGCGGCAAAAAGAAGAGATCATGGAGATATATACCGTCTAAAACAAAAACATTACAGAATAAACAAAAGCAAAAAAAATTTTTTAATGGGCAGGAGTCATTTGGTCATGCGGTAACACTAACACGACACATGGTCAGAAAACTGGGATGAGTACGGTACCGGCGACCATAGACGTAATTTTTCAGTCTGGATTACTTCTAGGGTCTTCAGTCTCCATCTTGTCTGTCCGGGCATCATGGCCATATCTGTTTTGATTTTTGCTACAAGCCATGTTGAGACAAAGGCACGCTCTTTACGGGGCTCTCGGGGTCTATAGAGTACGGTGTTGGCCTCTCACTCAATAGGTCCCGGGTTCGAATCCTGACAGCGAAGGAAAATTTTCTTCTTTGAAATTGTGTCATTTCACCTCCTTTCCAGGTTTCTAACCGTGTTCTGTCGTCTGATTTCGTCAGCACTTTCCGCCCCCTCCCCCTCCCCTTTGCTCCTTCCTCTGGGCTTCTGGCTCTTTCAGCAGCATCTTTGCTGCTACTCCTTGGCTCCTTTTTACCGCGGTCTTTCATCCACACCCCTGATCTTGTGGTCGGTAAGATCTAACACCCAGCCTTCTCGGATAAGGGCGAATAATCTCAGCGATAAGAGTAGGCTTCAGCCGCCACCTGGGCAAAATTCAAAATTCCTATCTAACTGAAAAATTGAATGTTTTAATATGCCCCGCGCGCTCGTACGACCTTATACAGTTGTGAGCTCCGTAAAATACTTACCAAAACATCAAAACACTCTCTATCGTTTAAACACTTAGCTGATACATGTTATGAGTACATATGTATTCAACAGACGTAAAATTGACAATGTAGTTTTGCGCCGAGTCAACCCACGGACGAAACATCGTGACAATATCAAGGACAAAGTAAAGAGAGTAGTTTCAACGTGCCTTGATTTCATACAGCTTTCCATAAATTGTTATCAGTACATATTTGAAAAAGGCGTAACGAGTCTGTTATCTTACTCGGGCTCCTTGTAAAAGCTAACGTTACGTCGTTCCCACACTTCTACTGTTTATTTCTTTGGGTTTTTTTTTACGCTGTGATACTTTTTATACAATATAGATGTTCAAAGACATAGTTAAGGGGCCGATCAAATATAATCTTACGTCTGGGAGGGG